CTTATGACTTCATCTCCTTGTCTTGATATGGCTATGTGTTTTTTAATTTTCCTTTTATCTTACTCTCACACAAGTCTTAGGTTCTAGTGTGTGGTTTGTTGGCTTTGCCCCTGTACAGATAATCGTGTCCCTTTGTTTCTGGTAGTAGTTTTAAAGAATTGCTGTGGAATCCAGTCTATCTGATTTGAGGGGAGGGCTAGTAATACTTCACTTCATAGGATTTGGTTTCATGTATGCCAGATGCTGACTTCCATAGGTGGCATTTTTGTCAATTCTCCTCTTTTACTCTGCTTTTGCTCAAAAATTACAGTAATGACCCTGATGTCAAGATAATAGTCACTGGTAATGTCCAGTCATAATTTATTACAATGGAATTGGTAGCTTCCCCCATAGTTCCGCCTTCTGAATTAAGGCCCTGTGATCCATCACGTACCTTTCAGAATGGCTGTCATCCTACGGAGGCTCTGAAGCAGTTCATCTTTAGCCTGAGTTCTCCTAACTGCTGTGCAAATTTGGACTTGGGAGCTGCAACTTAGACCTAAACATTCATCAGAATTGCATCCTCTTTTGTTTCTGACCACAAGAACACCTTAATCCATCTGATGAAAACGTTAAATACAGCTGAAAACCAGAGTGAAACTGTCCTTACTTTGAGAAGGCAGAGTGTTTGTTATGGAGCTTGGAGCTTTGCTTCAATCAGGCTTTGAGAAATCTGAAATGACAAGCCATCTGAGTGAGGGTGAAAGTTTAAGTAGTCACTTTTCCACCTGAGTGAAGCTCTGGTTTGATTCTTTTTCTCAAATGCAGGATGGAGGTGAGTGACAAATGGTTTGGCTGGCTGAAGTTTAGTATTCTGCCCTCATTCAATAACACATAGCGCAGCAGTCACTTTTATTTTATTTTTGGGAGTTTTCGGCAATTCCTAAGCAACAGTTGGAATTATTCCCCACTTTTCTTAGGATTGAATACACCCCTGAAGAAAAGACCTAATTCTTAATACCTTTAAACTGGTGTTCATTCTCCCCTTCTTTTCCTCCCCCACCTCGATTATGAGCAATTGGGTGGTAGTAATTAACAATCTTAGAGAGAAACATCTGCTAGTACACTTAAGCCAGTAAGTTTGTTTTTCATGAAAGAATGGTATTTCACAATTTTTCCAAGTTAATATTTTTCCTTTATTGTCTTTCCAATTTCAAATATTGTCCAGACGCATTTTTATAGTGTCTTAAGGTTATAGAAGTGAATACAAGACCATTAATAATGAACAAGAAAAGAGAACATCATAAAGAAAACATATGCAGTATTTCAATTCATGAAACATTCTGTTAGGGAATATTATTTTTGAAAGCATATGGCTATTCCCATGAGAAGCAATATATATACATATATATTTTTCCCCTCCAGTTGTGGATTTCCACAACAGGCATATTTTTCTCTGTATATTCGTCTGTGTAGTGGATTCCCTTTGTCAGGACTTGTTATTTGAGTGGGGAGGTAAGTAAGTATTTTTGCACAGATGATATGCGGACCTATTTCTGATGGCCTGGACTTTGGAAACACAAGTCTATTAATTCTCCACACTCCTTTGAGATAGTTGTCTTGTCTGGTCTAGTTTAGTATCATTGGCAGAGCTGAAAGGAAGTTCACATTGTGAATGTATCTGAACCTTGGCATGCAGCTCACTGATGGAGCTCTGTTTACAGGCTGCTAGTTTTAACTGTCTCAAGCAGACATTCTCATTTTATTTATAAGTAGGTTCACCATGTGTTTGTATCCTTCATGAAATCAAGTGCATGTCAATAGTCAAAACTAAGTATAGAAACAAGGTACCAAACACCCTTCCCCTCCCAGACAAAATAGTCATACTCCAGTATGGATTTTTAAATGTTCATTGAGTTTGGATAAGGCACATGAGGATATATGCACAGACACATTATTTGATCACTTATAAATATTATTTAAATACCTCCATATTCCCCTTTAAACTTTCTTCATTTCATTTTTCATTGCTGAATGAAACTTGACATCAGGATGAGATCACCAGATTTTCCCATTTCATGTGAGCTCCAAAATGAGTAACTGATTTCAAAGGATAATTCCCCAGAGCAACAAGGCCAGTAAGTTCTTCAGATCAAAGGTCAGCAAAGCTCAAAGAGGATAATTTCTGGCATACAGTATTTAAACTCTCTGAAGGAGTGTACTGCAAGATGTATCTCCTCCTTCCCCAATAGTTGAACTCTTGTTTTTTGAGAAGACTAATTTGTCAGAGCACATTTTTCCTCCGTTACATAAATTATACATTAAAGTGAAAGCTTCCTATCTGAACACACAAACTGTACATCCAGAAAGGTTATTAAACATGCCAGTGGAAGGGCTGTGCCTGAAACCAGAAGGTAACTCTGTGCTGTTCCTCTCTGAAGCACCCCATGGACTGGGGAACTCTGGTGCTCTTTGCACATGCCAGCAGCTTTCAGGACAATGCAGGAGCATTGTGGTTTAAGAGAGGGAATGCTCTGTGAGATGCTTCACTTTGACAGCAGAGCCCAGCAAATAGCAGGGGACAGTCACCTTCTGTAAGATCTGCTCCTCATTGCTCTCAGCCATGAGAGCATGCCATGCCAATGTGTTGGGGGTGCTGTCCCTTAGAGACAAAAGACCACTGTAGAAGTCTTTTGGCCAATGTGTACCTTTATACACTTAAAAGTATGTGTGATAAGAGGATGAATTTTATTTTCAATTGGTTGTCCATTGTTTCAACAAACCTGGGCGTCATACCAGCCCACCTTTCATTTATTTCATGTACCCTAGACCGAGATTGTGAGGGGTTGCAAAAGCCCCTCATACAAATGTTTCTGTCCTCTTAGAACTGTTCATGTGAGAAGCTGGTCACTGGTACAAATGAGCCACTGAAAATCTAGGGGCATATTTAATAGTTATGAAGAATTGCTGTCTATGTAACCATCCTTGTTGTGAAGGCGCATGTTGCCTTTCAATTTCTTGCTGCTTTTAGAAGGAAAACACAAGGCTGCACTATGTACAGGAACAATGTCATCTCTAGTTTTATGGGAGTCTTTTGTGGACTTAGCTTTGAACTTACAGGAATATGGAATTGTATTTATGGACAAAGTCAGTACAGAGCAAATGGCCCTTCTACAGATATACTTCAAATTTCTGTATTGTAAGTAATATGTATTTTAATACATGCCTTTGTTGATAAACACTGTACAGAACCTCCTTAAGAAACAGCCCCTGCTTGTCCAGTAACACCAGGTTAAAAAGACAAGGGAAGAAACAGCAATGAAGCAAGCTTTCTCCTCCTTCAGTTGACCCTCTTGCTTAGCTTATGTTTGGTGTGGAGAGTCCTAACATGGCTTGGAGCAGAAATCCAAGTGTGTCAGTATGTGTATCATAAATGTCATGTCTACTTGCATTTGTACAATGCAAATTGCATGCCTCTGCTGGGAAGCTAGCATTAGTATAATGTCAAGTCTGCAAATAAGTATCAAAGTCAGGAAATTCCAAAGGTTAGGATTTCTACCTCATTCCTCCTTTCTTTACTGTACATTCAGAATCTTTCATAGTATACCGCAGTTTCGAAAACAAGCAAAGTGATAAAATAATGTTAAACAAAGACATAAGACTAGAAAATGTGATATATATTGTAGTGTGGCAACATGAATATTGTGGCAGAAATCTTACCTTTTGGAATTTCTGAGAGTATAAAGCTATGGTAAGGGTAGATTTTAATTTTTTTTAAGGTAATTTTTTGGTTTTAAATGTGAAAGAAAATGCTGAAAAATGGCCAAAATCATACCTTAATTTCTAGCATGTTAGTGACTTGCTTTTCTGGGAGAATGCCTGGGAGATGCCTTAGCACTGCTGAATGCCAGGAGGGACAGTGTGAAATGGCTCATCCTGAACTGGAGGGGATCATGTCTTCTATTTTGAAAGGAATCCGACTTTACTGAACTGGCACTTCCATGAGATCTTACAAAGGTATCCCAAGAAATGGTTCCTACATAACATTAAAGACTTCGGGTAAATGCAGATGCTGCAGTACAAGTGAAAAAGTGCTGACTCTAATACCCCCATTCTCACAATATTTTCTGGTTTTTGGGAAGTAGGCATGATTACTGCTATGCTGAATAGGTATGGGCATGACATTGTTGGCAGAGGTATGTGGATGTATAAAAAATAAAGTCTGAGGCTATGGTTTAAAGATCTGTGTATATTTTCATACCACTGATTCATATAGAATTAATTTTCTTCAGGTATACAGCTTCACCATGTGTAAGGCTGACTGCCTCTGCAGGAGCCAAAGGCATGGCTATTAAGTTACTCAGCATTTGTCTTTTAATCCACAAGAAGTATATCTTACTGTTACATATCTGATACATGTTGTGTGTTGTGATATATGTCTGATGTTAACAGATTCTCTTTATGAGTGCTATTGAATTATGCAAGTACATGATGTTTTGACTTGAAACTTAAGTGAAATATACTTTTTCAGACATACAAGAAACTATGCAGCTTAATCTTTTTAGCAGGTAGCGTTACCTTCTTGGAAGGTAGTAAGGTTTGTGTGTATTTGGAGAGGGAAATTGGAATAGAACGAGGACTCCATTTCAGCTTCATTACTTCATTCACTGCTGGTGAATGCAGTGTGGTTTTGCAATATGTCACAAGCTTTCAGTATTTTGCAAATTATTCAACTTATTAACAGTAACAGTTCTGCTGATTTGTATTCTTATAATACTGTGTTTGAACTTCCTGTGACTCTAGTGATGTTTTTAAGAGACACTGTGTACTGAAAGCTGTTGGTAGATTGTCTGCTGAAATTATCCCACATGTGTAGTGAACAAAAAAGCAAATCAAGTATAATGATCCTCTCATACAAGTTTGCTGAAATCAATTTCACCCTATTTATAAAGACAGATTTGCAAATAGAAGACTGCTTTGACATTTCCTCATAAGTTTTTTGTTAAATACATTTTTCGCAGTGGCTTTGCCTCCAGAGAAGACAGATGGAGTTTGCAGTGGAGATGAAAAGAAAGCAGAAAAAGAAAATGACACACGCACAGGTTCCAAGAAGCAACTGAAATTTGAAGTAAGTCCTCTGTATTTAAAGTTTCACTGTATTGACAAGCATTGTGGTAGAAAAATAACCTGTGAAACAAATAGTGTCCTATGATGCATGTGTATAGCTCCCAATGATTGTAGTGGGTACAGGAGGGAGCAGAATTGGCACAAGTCAGTGTCTTACTCCTGATGCGCCTTATGAGGTGATTAGTGAGATTTATTTCCAGGTTTGGATCCTCTGTAGGATCTGAAATGTGTAGTAACAAGAGGCATTTTCTTTAAAGCTTTATCTTTGAACCTTTTGTTAGTAATTCATTATGCCATCTACCATGTTACCAAATCTTTATATTGACTTTCATGGACAGTTGCACTTTGTTAAATCTGATTAGTGTAAAAAGGTGTTTGTGAAAGCTGCCCTAACCATTGGTCTTCAGTGCCTGGGCCTTCAAAGTGAAATAAACATGACGTTCTACACTGGAAATCCATCTGATCACATGGGAGGAGGAAAAGGATCCTGCAGGGCAATGAATCTGATGGTCTATTTCCTTGTAGACTTACAAATATCATAAAACTGCCAGACATTTTGTGTAGTTGGCAGGTTTTGTTTATACAGGGAGTGATTTAATAAATATGAGCATTGAAACATGCTGTCATTCAGCTAGAGGGTTGTCTGTCTTTGTGAGGAGGAAGATACTCTGGTACCAGCAAGAAACAGCGTGAATTTTCATCTCGCTGTGCTCCAGCAGATGTGGCAAACTTCTGCTTTTCAGTGCTGTCAGCCTGTCACAGTAATGAGCTTTGCATTGCTCGATTGTTATTTAAAAGACCATGCAGCCACCTCGCAGCAGCTCAACTGTTCATTTGCTTCTCTAGGGCAGATTTAGGCATCTGGTACAATTTATTTTTTACTGTTTTAAGGCTGATTAAAGGAAGGTAGCTTTCCCATAGGCAGTTCAGGTGTTGCTAGGTGCTTGTGTGCCTTCTTGGGGAGGTGACTTTTCCTGCCTTTTTTTGCGTGGCAGTAACTCATTTCTAGCATATTTTATGTACTGCCTTGGGTAGCAGATATTTGCAGACAGGAAAGGCATGATAAATTGCAATTAACAGTGCCTTGATATTTGGATGTTGGAGGGCACCTGCCAACATGGTTGGTGCCAGAGTAGCTGGAACTCCACTGTGCCGGCAAAGTCTGTTTGTTCCCAAGTAGTTCTTGGCATGCCATAAAGGTTAGCACTTGGTACTAGGCACTGTGACTAATGCAGGGAAAGTTGCCATGGCTCTTCACTAAGCAGAGCACATCCTCACGTAAAGCTGTTATGTTAGGCAATGTGGGACAGGGAAAGTATTAATTTGTGGCAAGAAACCAAGTATTGATATTTTTTCCCTTATTCTACAATGAAAGTTTTCCAGCTATGTAAACTAGGAGCCAAGAGATTGGTACACGTTTCAAAGGTATGAAAGAATTAGAAACGCAAGTGTTGAATCAAGAGGTCTAAATCTGAGGTGGATGTGATTTGGCTTTTAAAGGTGCCGGGAATGTTTATGTAATATGAAGCTGTGTTTCCACAGTAGAGTGTGGGGCACTTGGCAGCTTTCAGCCAGCCTTGTTACAACTGAGAGAAGACTGCCTTTCAACTCAGCAGGGGACAGGAGGTACCCGTAACTGCTGTAGGGAATTGGTTTCAAGTCAGAAGATCAACCAGGTATTTTGAGCTCTGTCATGCTGAAGCTATTTGGAGCTGTTTATTTTACTTGCATACAGTGACTTTCATTTTAATTGCACTGTAACTTTTCTGTTTTGCCTTTTTGTGGCTCTGGATAATTCTGATTGCACAGGTCTTGAGAGAAAGCAAATGATTTGCACCCAGGTGACTGGAGTCAGTCAAAGTGCATCCTTTGTTCTTGACTGAAATCTTGCGCTTGCTTTGAGGGTTTTTCTTCTCTTTAACAAATTGATTCTTTCAGGCTTTCCAGAGATCACACCCTCACTAACAGAAGCGCAGTTAAAATAAGGGCCAGGCACTACTCCCAGGTCATTCTTAGATAACAGGTCCTAGGCAGGCTCCATTTCAGGGGCTTAGTGGCATGATGCTGTACTGCACTAACAGACAACCTTTGGTTGTATCAAATGCCTGCATCAAGGACAGGTCTCACTGGTGGGGATTTGTGGCATAGGCCCAGTCTGTATTGATGGCTTTTCCTGGCACTGTGGTGTACTTCCTCATTCTGTGGGACTGTTTCTGTTACCTTTCTCTTTGTGAGTTAAGCAGTGGTCTTTCTCACTTTTAAGTGGGAAATGTTATATTTCAAGAGCTTCAGGGAGTAGTTTTCTTACACCTTTTTTGTGTTTTCTACAATAAAGTAAAAAAAGCATCTTGCAGATTCCCCAAAGTCTGTCCCAAAGGAGTTAGGATTATCATGTGACTGTGATGAAACTTCTTCACTGTGGTGGACAAGAGGCCTCCCCAGGACATATCCTGAAAGCTTCCTCCCATGAGAGAGGGAGGAAGAAAGCAAGCAGCCTCCTTCTATGGAGACAGGCCTATTGCTTTAGGTAATCAGCTGCTCTTTGCATGTTTCTTAGGAATTGCAATGTGATGTGTCTGTAGAGGAAGATAACAGGCAAGAATGGACCTTCACACTGTATGACTTTGATAACAACGGAAGAGTCACACGTGAGGTAAGCAAAGTACTGCTGCCCCTTTTTGTGCAGCGTCTGCTAAAAGAGACATGTTTTATAACAGGAACATTTTTTTCATCTGTGAAATAGAGGTGTCCTGCCAACTTAAACAGCAGTTTCCATGGATCCTTCCCTCCTAGAAACAATCCCACCAGTAATTTACTGTTTTCAGATATACTGTATGTCTTCTTAAGCCAGTTGTTGTTTAATACCTGGGATTTGCCTGTAAGTAAAGTAGTACTGGCATTTGCGGAGGAAAATACCTGAAACAACTAAACATTGTCAAAATACCCCCCTGCAAATGTATATTGTTCTGGCTTCTATCCTGCTTTTCAGTTGAGCTACCCAAATAGCAAGGTTGCTTTCTGACATTCTTTCCAGTAGGACTAACTATACTGTTCTGTTATTTTCATGAATATTAGGCTGATCCCTGCCTTCTTCCTCCAAGTATAAATAACGTGGATGATATTTACTAGAGGACAGTAGCGAAGGGCTGTCAAAGCATACCCACATATATTTTTTATTGCTAGGATGTCTTCAAGTAATATTACCTGTGCAAATAAGAAGCCAAATAAGAGTATGTATAGATAGAACATGGTCCTTTTCCAGAACTATTTCTATCCAAATTGAATGATACTTCCTCTAGAAGAATGTCTTTTACTGAGATATACTGCAATGTGCTGTCATTAGTTTTTGGTTTGCTTTTTTTTTTCTGGTGAGGTGTGTTTGCTCCCATGCCTTTGGATAATCAGCTGAAAATTGACAGGTTTTCTCTCTCCTGGCTGTTATGCTGGTGTCTGTGAAAATCGCCAAGAGCTGGTTGAAAGGAAGAGGGTAAATACTGAAAGAGCAGTGGCCTTAGACTCCAAATGAGGGCAGAATTTTTCCCTAAAAGACTGAAGCAAATTTCTTCTGACATTTATGAACAAATTCCAAATGTGGTGGATGTTCAGGGTTTTTAATATGTATATAAACATCATTACTAGGCCTTTTTATTATCTCTGCTCTGATAGTGCTTTGAATAATCAAGTCTGTGTCCCTCATGCAAGAGAATAAGCAGATGAAAAGTTACAGGCCAAGTCCAGAGTTACAAGTGGGAAGATGCGATATATAGAGAGAGGTTAAGGAGAAGGGGTGAGTGGAATGAGGAAGTAGTACTGTATTTGTTAATGTATGGGGAACAGAGACCAGAAAAATGAAATAACTTGCCTGAAGTCTCACAAGAACCTAATGGCAGATTGAACCCAGATCTTTTGAGACCCAAGGCTTAATCTTCATTATAAGATTATCACGACTCTTGAAGAATAGGGCAAAAATGCATAAAACCCAAACCCACGCGCATGGGTGTCCTTTACATTCAGGCATGGAATTCCCATTAATGTCAGTGGGAGTTCCATGTGCTGAACATAACGAGAATGTGCTTTCAAGTATGTATACAATAATTATTTGTGATTATGTGGTACACCAAAGAGCTTAATTTGACTGTACCTAGAGAATGTATTACAGCCAAATTCTACCTCTCCCTGCTCCAAGAGCAGGCTGCAGCTTAACTGAAACCAAATCTGTTCAGGGATTGAAAATCATACTACTCTGAGTCTGGAGGTTGCTACATTCAGGCTTGAGCCTGTGCCAAAAAAAAATCTTTTAACCAGGGGACCAAAGAGACTGATAATTTTCAGCTCTTTACATGTGACCAAAGATAGAAACAGATAGTATGCACCATTGCAGAGTTTTTCAGTTATGTTACACGTTTCTTTTGCAAGCTGTTCCAGTGCCATTGTATCATCCATCTTGTTGGTTGTCTTCTGTTTAATCCAGATGAAATTTAAGAGTTGTTTGTGCAAGAATGACTAATGATAGCAGCTTGTAGATAATCTTGGCCACAAAAGAGGAATTTTAGTCTCTTCATGTGACATAGAATTTGTTGTTCTATTAGCCTCAGAGAGACTGGCACTCAACAAAGTGGGCCTGATACTGTATTTTATTAAGCAGCTCTGCTCCTGGTCCAGGAAAGGACTTAACGATGGTGAACATTAAACATGGGAATAATTTGAATTAAAATGAATGGGACACATTCTTTGAATTAGAAATATGCAAAGCACATTGCTGGATCAGGGGCAGAACAGACAGTCTGAGGAAGAGGGCTAGCTCTACCAGTGCCATTTAATGAGCTGATGAAAATGCTCTCAGCTGGTCAGCTTTTTTAAACAAGGGTCTAGTGTTCTGATGAGAAAAGCTTAGTGTTCACCTTTTCTCCTTTAAAAATGTCACTTTAATGTCTCCTGGATTTATAGCTGGATTTAACAGGGAGATGAGATTTCTTAAGTTAGATTTCTAACTGTAGACATTGAGGATCTGTACCAAAAGGAGTCAGCCTTATCATTCTATTTTTCACCTTGGTAAAGACAGACACTGGAAAAGGATGTGACTTGCCACCCACATCACAGAATCACAGAGTCACAGAATGCTTAGGGTTGAAAAGGACCTTAAGGTCATCTAGTTCCAGCCCTCCTCCCAAGGGCAGGGACACCTTCCACTAGACCAGTGTGCTCCAAGCCCTGCCCAACACTGCCAGGGATGGAGCATTCACAACTTCCTTGGGAAGCCTGTTGCACTGCCTCACCACCCTCACAGTAAATAACTTCTTCCTTATTTCTAACTTAAATATACCCTGTTTAAGTTTAAACTGATTACCCCTTGTCCTATCACTACAGTCCCTGATGAAGAATCTCTCTCTGAAATCCTTGTAGGAGCCCTTCCATTTCATTTGATTCAGTTATTGTGTTTAAAATACTGGACTTCATGTCCAGAGACTTTCCAAAGGAACAGAGAGTGTTAAATGAAGTTTGTAAGAGACATGTGGGTGGGGTGCAGTTTTACAAGTGCACCAAATGTTTTTTTCATTAAAATGTTTGAAAATTGTAAATGAGATACTGATTTAGTTACTGGACAAAAATTCTCTTGGGCTTTACACAATGAGAGATCACCGCAAGAGCATTCAAATTCCATCGTAGTGGAATTTCTTCTGGATCTTAACAATATCTTCAGAACTTAATACTGCTTTGATTTCCTTCTAGAGTCTGCATGATTTATTCATAGTCCTTATAATTAGAAATCCAGATCTAGTAATGCTTCTTGAAGAGATACACTCATTATGAAAGCAGAATTATTGGGATGGCAAATCATAAAATTGGCATTACTGTATATTGTTAAACTACTGCTTTTTCTGTCATAGAGGCCCACAATTTTCAGTTGTTTTAGTTTAGTGGGAAATAACTTTTCCTGCTCTAATGTGTATATTACAAAACTTGGCTAATGATGTTTCCCTTCATTCCATAAGCCATAAGAGGACAATTCATTATGTACTGCAGGCCTTTTTAGAACTGACAGCTGCACTGTAATTATCTTCACACAGATATTTGTAATCGGACTTGAAACTTGGATAATTGAACTAATGTGTTTTGATCCATGGGTTTTTATATTGAGCTCTCTGAATGTAATTATACTTCATAAACAGTAACCTTTTTTTTTTTTTTTAATCAATCAATTCTTTCTTAGAAAATTAAGTTTCTTTGGTGAGTGGCTGCACAGGAATAAGAACACAGGGTTGCTTGTGGGGAGTGAAAAAAGGGAAATTCTTCTAAAGTAGCTGTTGAGTAGATAGCAAGTGAAGCTCCTTTCAGGCTACAAATAGGAATGATTCAAAAACATATGTGATCAAACAAAGCTGATGTTGCAATAAAAACATCCCACTGTACGTAGAAATCAGACTACAAACAAGGTACAAATGAGACATTTGTACTTTTGTTGTTTTTTTTTCTGAGGGAAAGGTAATGAACTGATATTGATGCTTTTCTTCATGCATTTTTAATGCTAAAAATGTTCTTTCTATCTTACATTAAATACTCAATTTTTCCTGTTTTCTTTCTCATCCCTCCCCCCCCCTCTAGTTATGTTTGCTCCTGTCCTCTGTAATGAGTGAAAAGGTTTGAGGTTATTTCTTCATTCAGATCTCAGCACCAACTCTTTGCCTTGGGGAAGGATGCTGGCTCTTTTGGGGCTACCATTTATCAGCTTGACCCTTATCTTGAAATTTGTTTATTGCACTGTGGTTGTCAACATTGTATTAACTCATGGTGAGGAAAGAACAATGGAACCAATGGCTAGAGTAGCTTTTGTCTTTAGCAGAGGGGCCATCATTTCAACCATTAAGTTTTTGTGGGTTTGTGTCAGGGAGAAATATTAAGAGAAAACAGAACTTTTTCTTTCAGTTTTGAAGGGAGCTAAAGACACAAAGACATCTCTCCCAGAGAAGTTATGAATAAAACTGAATGCTTCCTTTCAATGTTATTAAATGTGTTAGGGTTATTTTGTTTTGGCTTTGGTGTTTTGGTTTTGTTTGGGTTTTTTGTTATTGGTGATGGTGTTTTTGTGTTGGTTTGGGTTTTTTTCTTCCTTTTTCCTGGGGGGCTGTAGGAGGTGTGTTTGTGTGTGCAAATATCTCATTCTGTCAAATTAATTCTGCTGGAAAAGCCTCTTAGTTTACAGAATCTCTAGTTTGCTAACTAGTCATATTGATGACAAGCTACAATAATACTGGAAAAATAACCACTAATGTTCCTTAGAAGTAAAATGTTAATACCTGGAATAGGGACTTCCTCAGTCACTGTAAGGAATGAAGTTCTGTAACGAATGAAGAATACTTCTGTGCAATTTGCTCTTGTTCTTTTTTTCAGACCCATAAGATTCTCTGAGTGTTTTAAATTCCTGCTAATCTCCTACTGGAGATCTGTAAAGTATTCTGTGGATACATTTCTGAGGGCACTATACATGTGTAGCCTCAACTGTTTGATTTTTAGTATTTTTAATGCAAGTATTTCTGGCAATAAAAAACTGCTCTTTTCAATATACTTTATTGTAATATACTTTTTGTTTGTTGTATTAGCTGCTCGATAAAACAGGATGTTGAAAACATGCAGGTTAACGCTGTTAAGTCCTTCAGGCCTGGAAAAAACAACATAGTGTTTGATAAAGAGGAATAAATCTGGGTATGACATGTGCTGGCCATTTGAAGATTACCCAGCAAACATTTATTTTCCTCTTTGAGGAAAAATATGATTGTTTCAGTTTTCTTACTTGATTAAACTAGCTATTCCAGCAGAAAATCTGCACACTAGAAGCTCTTCAGAAGTTAGATTCATGCAGACTACTTCCCCTCTGAATATAATGTTTATTGTAAAGGATCATTTCTTTTATTCTTATTTCTCTTTATCCATTTAATATACTAGTTTAAGAATCCATAACAATTTCTAACTCAAAGTGGTATAAAAGTACATTTCAGAGGAAAGAAAACAAAAACAAACAAAAAACCCCAAGCAAATGATATTTTTGAGAAATGGGAGACACTGAAAATTCTGATTTTGTTCATTTTTTGCTTAAAAAGGGAGGAAGTTTGAGAAATGTGGGATGAAACTTTTTGTGGGGGAAGTTTCAAGCAGTCTTAAAGCAGTTGCAAAATCACGTGACTAATAAAAGTCATAATCCACAGTACAGAAAGATTAGATTCCTTGGTAGGTGGTCTCTGAAACATGCTGGTTGGTGTACTAGGAGAGAGAAAGATTTAAATAGCTTTTATTCTTGATGTTTAATGCTAAATTTCTTGAGGAGAGTGAAATGCCCAAGCTGGTGTGTAGAAGGTAAAGCTGTCTCAATTTTAGGCAGTTCTTTAAGGAATTTAAATATAGATAATATTCAGTGGGACAGCTTTCAAGGAGAACATAGATTTCCTCAGTCTCCTGGCAGGCTAATAGCAGATGAAAATTCTTTTGTGGGTAAATATAGACATAGCTATAAAATACAGATTTTGTAATATGTATTTTAATGGTCTAGAGCTACTGATTTGACAAGAAGCCATTAGCATATTAGCTGCCAAAAAAAGGGCTGTGAGAAGATAGTTTTAGTCACATCTCAAAACTCACTGATAGAGGCCATTCCTAACAGTGGCTCAGGAATTCGTATGTTGCAGCTGTGAAGCAATAACTGGAAAGCAACAGGAAGTTCAAGCTGCCTTGTAGTAGGTACCTCCTCAGCCAGAACTTTGGTAGATGACAGATTAGCAAATGACCCAAGCAGACTTGTTGGACCAAATCAGAACTGTCAGTTTACTAGAATTCCCAACCCCAAATTAGGACCACAACTAAATGAATCCTATAATAAAAATGTTGTTGACAGTATTTAAAAGATCAGCATAAACATTAGGCGGTTACTTATGGATATCCCTAACCTCGATCTTGGTATATATCCAGTTTGACGACCACGTTCATTTACTGCCAGAATGCAGAGCAGTTCTGGTCGTCATGCAGGAAGCTGGGTATTAAATGCAGAACAAAATGCAAAGGCAGTAGAGTATAAGGCCTCAAGGTGTCCTGATTAATCTGTGCAGCATCTTAAACTGCTTGGAGCCTGGACATTGATTTGGGTTAATTTGGGCCTGTTTGGCTGACGGATTTAAACTGTTCTGGTGTGATATGTATGTGCGCATATTTCTGACTTCCCAAGTATGTGTCACACAAATGCTGGCCTTCTCTGACAGCATTTGGAAGTATGTTTTAAACCACTGAGTCAAGCAGCTTGTTGAGAAAGACCCTCAGAGAATACAAGGGGCAGATTGTATGGCAGTTAGCAAGTTAGCCTTCATCATTGGAAAAAAATATGTAAAAGGATAGTGGGAGCAAAGACTCTGTCTTTGCCTGTTGAAGTTAAAATAGATTAGATGGTCAGCTTGTACAAACATCTGGCCTAGCTGAAAAAAGGAAAGAGGACAGATGGCTAAGAAAGAGTTGATAATAACCTCTTGATAGTAGTCTTGTGTGGAAAGATGCCATGTTGGCTAACCAGCACTTGTTAAGGAATGTATGGGAAAGGCTCAACTCACCAAAGTGCTGAGTGTATGAAGCCCTGTTTTGAATAAATATGGTTCTGAAGTATTCTGATGAAAGGCATGGGCTGGCTAATCGAGGTGTAGGATTATAGCACCATGCTTCTAGAACATAATTTATGAATGCATATAAAACAACAGATACTGTTTTTTGTATGTCTGTGTTCTTGCTTTGTTGTTTTTTTCTCATAGATGAATAAAAATCCAGCCCTTCAAGCTGGTCTTTAGATATGGCTGTGTCTGTTTAGAGGTCTGGCTAGGTTTCAGCTTAGGGTGGAAGTGTGAGAAGTGAGATGTGTTAAAGAGCTGTGAGGTGTCCACCAAATTGTCACTGAGCAGTCTTTCCCTCATTCAAGCTTTAGACCATGGTTCTTGTCCAGAGGATGGAAAACAGCTACTAACATGGTAGTAAAAGTCCATATATAAACACTCTAGCAACAATTCCACTGAGTGCAGAAAGGTTAGAGGGGTTACATGGTAACGTGAAGCCTGAACCGTCTGGGATTTAGTTACTTATTCTGCCTGTTGAGCTGGAAAATCATCTACTCTAAAATAATTTTTCCTGACCATAAGGTCAGTATTCCCCTAAATTCTGTGTGAGTAGAAATCAGTATTTCTGTGTCACCTTTAAAACTGATTAGATAGTGAGGACTGTGTGGTATATTGACTACTAAAATGCTGGGACCCACTAAAGCATACTAAACTTTGAGCTGCCATCGTTACAGGTATGACCTCTACGCAAAAGAAAAATTGTAGAGGTTTTGAATTTTTATAAACCTCTTAATCCTCAGTTATACTTAGCAAAAGATGATTTAGGTATTTCCTTTGTGCTCACAGGCATCTGGAAGGATATTATGTACAAAAAGTGCAAGAAATAGGAAGAAATTCTCATATATACATTGAATAGGATCTTCATAGCCTACAGTGATCAGTATGCTCTGGGTTTAGGTTAATGCCTAAGACCAGTTTGGATGAAATCCCTTTGAGAAAAAGTAGTGAGCCAAGAGCTCTCCTTTTCATCCCGGCAATTTAAGATGGTACCCTTTTTGAGCCTGACTGGATTACATCAGTCCGAGAGACCTCTAAGCTACTAAACAGTGTTTCTCCTGTTTGAAACAATCAGTTTATTCAAACTGACTAGTGTCCTTTCTGATGTAGCCAGACATGCAAGCATTTGTTCATGTCCCTTTGCCTTCAAAGAGACGTGTGAAGAACATTCTGTAATAGGCCTGACTGAATAATCTCTCTTCAAAAAGGAAAGTTTAGGATTGGTTTGAATTTTGCAAAATAATCTAGACCCCAAAATGCATATGTTAGAGTGACATTCAGACATTATTTGCTTCCACACCTGAGGTTTACAGTTCTGCCACGTCTTTTACTGGTTTTCCTCTATATAATCAACCATTCAACTATCCCAAGAATAAACACATGAGACTGTAACATCCGAGATTTTCTTCATTGATGTATTTATTTTGGTTATGTGAACTCAGTTTTTAGTGCGGTATGAATGGTTAACATAGAATCATAGAATCCCTGAGTTCTGCTGAAATCAAAGAGAAGAAAAGGCAGAACACAAGTTTGCTGATTCACAGTTTGGAAAGGCTGAATATCTTGCATTGTTGTTATTATTTTGATATAGTTTGCCCCATTTAAAAAATCTTATGCCACGTGATGTAGATTGTAATGTTCTTTGCAAATTCAGCTCTTTTAAATTCAGTGACTTCTGAGACTATTTCAACATTTAATACTCCCAAGTCCAAAATAGTTGTATCAAAGTTGTAGGTTTCATACCATTTTCACAACAGTGTGTCTTTATGTGTTTCAATCCAATTATAGGATATTACCAGCTTGCTTCATACCATCTATGAAGTAGTTGATGCATCAGTAAATCATTCTCCTAGTTCCAGCAAAACTCTGCGAGTGAAACTTACTGTGGCACCAGATGGCAGCCAGAAGAAAAAGAGTATCTTTGCTGGTAAGCACATGAAATCAGCCGTTGGAAAAAAATTCAAAAGGTTTCAAGAATCCCTCAAAAATACAACTTCGTATTTTGTTACTACAATTAAATATATACGTAAGGGCAAATAATTATGTGGGTATTTGAAACCCCATGAATCTGCTTTATGGGTGCAAAATTGCCTACCCTCCTCCTTTCAGTGTCCCTTAAGCAAATTAGAGTTCCCTTACCTGATTGATTGTTCCTCATTGGAAGCAGCAGTAGCCCATACGGTATGTAATTACCTTTGTGTACCACAAGGCAGATTTAAGGCCTTTTCAACTTGTACCACTTTAACTCTGCTGATACTACAATGCCCAGCTTCTGTGAAAACAGATGTAGTGGTATAAAATGTTTTTTGCAAGGGCAGAACTGTCACTGCTGCTGGATAAGGACAAGCAATTCAGCATAAATAGCCTTCATGAAACTATGCATAAAAATTGAACTTTTCTATAGTGGCAGAGTCTGCCAGTGAAAATGATGCATACTCTGGTGGCTAATTCACATTATATTCACTATAATAAGAGTTGTATAATTCCTTCAGTAGGTTAAGTACTAAAAATACTTATTTAAAGTAATTTAAAGTATTTAAAGTAATACTACAGTAGAAAATGTGGGCACTTTACCCCAGAGGAAAGCCTTGTTACCTCAGGTTTAATATATCCATCTACTCAGTCAAGTGCAGACATAAGAAAATTTGTGCTTCTGGGGAGCTCTGTAATGCATTAGTACAGCATGAAGCTCCAAGCTGCTGAGTCTTCCTGAGAGGCAAGTATATCAGTGTGAATGCAGCTCCATTTAACCTGCCACATGGCTTGCAGCCTATAGTCCTACAGTCAAGGTTATGCCTGCCTAAAATCTGTTGTGTGGACAAAAGCACTTTTGAGAAGGGTACATGAAATAATACATTACATCTTGATTTACCAACAAGAAAATTGCATTTACAATGTGGCATGTTATGCTGATCAGCAAGGACAGTAATGTGAGAATAATGTCCTTTTCTCTTGGCAGATTTGCAGAGTGCCAGGCATAGAGCTGAAAGCAAAGTTAATGAAGAAGTAAGAAGCTCTGAGAAGAAGCAGCGGGCTTCTCTCAGGTAAGGGGAAAGAACCCTATGTCCTAACAGGCACTGGGTACTTCTAAGAAAACCTCTACCATTGATTTCTTGTTTGCTTCCTTGCTTTAGTTTTTAAAATTATGTTAAAACAAAGGAATTACAGGATTTTCATTATGGAACCATTAGCAGATTCCAAGGGTGAATACTTTGTACATTAAAATGAAACCCAAAAAGCAAATCTGTAGGATCAGTGACCCAAATTTTCTTCTGTTGGCTCTTTGGAGGACATGCAGTGCCTTTTAGACACTATCTGCAAATATTGTGCCTACTAGTGGAGTTCATAGCACAGCCTTTGGCTAAAAGTGTCCCAGACCCCTTTAATCTCCACAGAGGCCGACTCCTGCCTTTCTCCGTCCTCCACAGTGACTTAGCAAAGGGGCCATCTCTGCTGACTCCCCCTTGCTAGAAACCATGCTTCCCTGCTGCCACATCAGCTTTAGGTCAACTTCTCCAGAATTAGTTATTTGGCAGTATCCATGAGGAATTAGCTGACTTGCTTAGAACTAATATATTTAATGTAATCTTATAGGAAAATTTGGACTTTTTTTTTTCTTTATAAGTTTCAGAATACATTTCACCACTTGAAAAAATATGTCTAGTGTCTTTCAATGGACTCCAGCCTGTGTGACTCAGGGTGCAGCCATTTCCAGTAAAGCACAAGCACAGTGGGCTTCTTTTATTAAGAGATGCAGGTAGACTTGCAGCCATCTACGGATTAGATAAAAAAAAATTAGTTTTAGTTCTTCCCTAATAGAATGCACAATATTATTTTGGATGCCAGTCAAGAACAGGCGTTCTTCCTCTGAACATGTGTAATCATGTGTATTTATCCTGTTATCAAGGGTTCTACCTGATAGATATTACCTGCACTGAACTTCAGTGTATGTGATAATCATTTGCAATATATTTTTCAGGTACTATAATTTTTTATAGCGAAGAAAAATGTTAATCTCTCAGTCACGTGTAGGTGTACTGTTCCTTTTCTGAATTTGGTATTCTAATGGATAGAAAACCAAATCAAAACCAGATAATTTTCGTAGATTTGAACACAGAGCAGTTGCTCCAAACAGGTCATCTTGGTGTATAGGTTTGACCTGTTTTAGGATTTTAAGTTTAACACTAAGGCAGAGGGAAGTGTTCACTGAAGTGCTACAGCAATGACATTGAATCATTTGTTACATTTGTTTCTTCAGTTGCAAATTTAAGAAAAAAAAATAAAAATCCACTCTTGGCTTTCCTTGGATTTAGGGATATTTGTTCAAATACATAATACATTTATCAGGAGAAGGAGCATTCAGTCTTATTAAAGATGACAACAAAACGGTGCCTCCCTTTTTTGGATAGAGTAAAAATGCCAGTGAGTTGTCCCAGTGAGTATATCCCAGTACAATCAAATTTCAGATTAAAAGAAGACTAAAAATGACTTAATCTTCTGTTAGGAACAAAATCTTCTGTGAACTAAAGAATACTCCATGGTTTTCCTTGCTGGCCTCAATGTAGTATTCAGATTCCCTCTGCCCATTAGCAAAGGTTTGCCCTGTGTGACTTTAAAGGCCTGTTTTTTGCTTGATAATTTGTTGCAAAAATCCCCTTTCAGTCGTAAAAATCCCCTTGAAGTCCTGGTTTTGCAAATGTAGCGGTCTTATGAATAGCAGCCATTTCCTTAAATCCACAGTCACAGAGGCATCAAATGTTGGGGTAGAATCTTGGCTCTGCTGTATGTCCTTCTAACCCCTTTGGATAGAGGCTTCCTAGCCAGAACAAATCTGTATCTTGAGCTGAGCAGATCAGCATCAGGCAACTGTCAGTATCTAACAGGTTTTGTTGCATCTCACAAAATGTGGACAGGACAAAGAATATCTCATGATATTAATGCAGAGTCTTCTCCTTTGAAAGCAGCAATGAGTTCGTTGTGGGAAGTGCACACATTTCATAAATTCAGTCACTTAGGAATTCTAGGCAAGATCTGATTAATATTCAAGATAAAATGGATAGAAGTGTTTTTATCCTGAAGGTGGGAGATAGATGGGTTAAATTTTTCATCTGCTGGAAGCTACAGGCAATTTTCCCCTTTAGGGCTAATGCAAGTATCAAGATAAGTAGCTACATTCATAGCTAGTTTGCCTGGCATGTGTGGTACAAAATGGGTGGTGGAAGAGCACTGGCAGGCAGCTTTGTGGGTTGGGAATCTGTGCCATTCTAGTTCATGTTTCACATCAGCCTCTAAAACATCTTTTTACCCACAGATACACATTCTCGCTCTTTCTTTCTTTCCTGCTGATTTCTTACTGACTGGCTTAAATTCTATGTTATCAATGAGTATAGCTTTCAGGAAATGTCCTTGCATTTTTCTACCCTGGGCTTGTCACTGTGCTATTCCCCTTGCTTCTATATCATTGTGTGCTTATTGCCATCAGCATGACACCCCATGGCAGAAATTTTAGAAAGGGCTTTCGTATACTCCACAAACACTTAAGCAGATGCCTTTTTTTAATTAAAAACAAAGCCAAACCAAAAACCAGTATCAACACTGTGTATGTTTGCACACCATGCTTGATGCATGGCTGGTGCATGCCTGTGTCTTCCCGTCTTCCCATGTGTATGCAGGAGATCATCATGGGGCTGGATGCCAGATGCTTCAGTTCTCTAACTTAAAGTTCTCTGTGGCAGTAGAGCACAGCTCTCATGAGTATATAATTGCTTCACCGTTTATTTTTGCCTGAATACTGTTGAATGGCATCTTGCATGTAAGAAAGCTATTGAAATTCGAGAGTGCAGCAGTACTGGCATAGATTTTCTTTACTGTCTTGATGAGAGATAGAATTTATTACAGTAACAAAAAACCAGGTTCCCTGCTAACTTCGTTTTCAACAGACAGTGCTGTATACAGTGTTGCTTTATTGTGTTGACTCAAACCCAGTGATGTTTTTCCTGGGTTGACTATGAGTTTTGTGCAGCATGTGTGCGCAAGTCCCAGTGGTTTCCACAGGCAGTTCATGCCTGGCAATTCAAATTACCCAGGGTCTAGCCCCAGAGATCTTTTATGTAGACCTGTGAAAATGTAACAACTTGTAAAGGTGTGTCTGGGGCAGGAAAGGCACTGAGTTGGCTATGTATCCAAAAGAATAAGGGATATCTGGACATTCCCTGGTTTTTGACAGTACCACATGTCACTTCTGGAGTTCAAGCTGACTCAGTCTTTAAAGCTTACCTGCTACCCAGGCAGACTCTCCTCCATTCAGGAGACTCTACCTCTATCAAAGTAGAGCAAAAATCATCTTCCAGGTAGGTCAAGTCTTGCAACTTTTATCAAAGATACTGCAGACCTCTGTCTGACAGTGACACAGGGGACTCAGTTCTGTAATGTCCCTGAACAGTAATACACTAGACCAGGAAAGCAGTTTGTGCCAAAGCTCAGTGGGATCAGCAGCCTTTGGGAACCTGGAAATGTGTTAATAGACTTAAAGCATAGTATTAGGCACCATACAGTATAGAGCCCAGATTTAGCAACTGGTGTAGGATACAAGGCCAAATTCTGTCTAAGGCTGACAGTGCAATCTCACAGCGAAATAGCAAAGCCTATCTTGTGGACTTGGAGACTGAACTATCTGAACGACAGGGAGCAACTTATTCAAGAGTTGACTGCTTATCCTGTTTGTTATATTAAAAATATTGTTCATATCTGCAGACATCCATTTAAATTGCTGAATTAAATTGTTCGGCATTATGGGCTACACTACTGTAAACCTCTGTCTGATTTTTTTCTGCCTCATAAATGAATGGTATTTCAGATATTCATTCTCAGGAAATAGTTGTGCTATAAATAAAATTGCAAAGTTGAGCAGGAAAAGGAGTCAAGATTCTGAATCCAGCTTATTATCTGACCCTACTAATTGTATTTTGGAAAGTGGCAGTTATCTCTGGGTGCCTGGCCAACACCTTCGCTTCTCAGGCTTTCTCTAGTTACTAAACCAGTCCTGTTGCCTTTCTGCAGCAGATACATGTGACTTGCCTGACATGAGGCTTGCCCCAGTGCTTCCTCACAGTGTTGGGAACAGTCATGAATCAAAGAGTAGGTTTTCTTTGGCATGTCCAGATTGAGTTGAATGGTTTGGCCCTAAGTCACAATGTAATAAACCCTAGGAAGAGTTTTATTTGCTTTTGCATGTGTAATACAATTTGAAGGCCTCCCTTGCTTTGCAACATCGGGGTCGATTTATATGAGGGGAAAGAACAGTCAGTTCAGGCCTATCAAATTAGCAAATCCGGTCATCCAGGATTTCAAGTGTTTGTTGTTTCTTTGTGAGCAACTCATGTCACTTCAAAGGGGCCATCAGTTGTTGGTTTGCAGATGGTGATAACAACTTTAAAGAAGTTCTGCTGAACTGTAATTTTGCTTCCTGCTGACAGATATCACCAGAGTGAGAACAATCCAGAGCAAAGTGGGTGCTATCGTCATTGTGTTGATGAGAACATTGAAAGGAGAAACCACTATTTGGATCTAGCAGGAATAGAAAACTACACATCAAAGTTTGGGCCAGGTAATTTGGTAATTTACCTTTTCATCTTTCCTGTCTTCAGTTGCGTGTTCCACATCAGGGGCAGTGAATTGTGAACCTGTGTGATTTGTCTGTAATGAATTACTGTAAGGAATTGGACTGTGTGAATACTGCAAGATAATTACTAGTGAAGGTGGTATCACAATGGAGTGGCTAATGTGCTGCAAGCCTGCTTTGAAGTGCTTGTTTGTGTAGCTGAACTTGGAGGTGAGCCTAGGAGAACAATCTCTACATCTAATTAAGTTTAGTCTATGGGTGAGGCGAGGACTGATTTTTGGATGTTAGAGTTTGTTCCCAAGATGATACCAGCATATCTTTTGTACTTGCTACTGACCAAAAAATAGGAGAATGTGGGTTCGTACCTGGAATTTTGGCTTTTGTCCCCACATTAAAGAGATTTAAATTTTCTCCCTTTCCCTATCCTTTGCCAAGATTTTGCTATTCCACTCACAGTTATTTTGGTGAATTTCAGATAGATGATGACCAAGGCAGGATAATATAAAGACGTTTATACATACAGACAGACGTTCACTCCTATATAGATATGTACTTGTCTGTGTATTATTTACTAGCCAGAATTATTAAGTGTAATTAAACTAGACAGCTATAATTGCATTCACTTCCTTAGGAAAAAATCACTCTGCCAATAATGCTATCCCTGCCAACTGCATGCTAGTAATTAAAACTTTGAAATACAAGATGACTAACTCAGCTTGTTATTTCCTAGGATCTCCTCCAGCAGCTCAAAAACATGACCCACCATGCAGAGCTGTGAATCAGACTAGATCCCGTTCTCATGAACCTGAAACCTTCCATGCACACCATAGGAAATCTCAAGTGGTGGATCCAAGCCACATCAATCTGGCTGAAAGTTCGTATGCCAAGATTGCAGAAATCCAACAGAGGCTGCGGAACCAGGACTCCAGCAAGCACTTTGTGAGGTCTCCCAAGGCCCAGGGCAAAAACATTGCCCCTCTGCATCCTGGAAGGGCAGTTAGAAATAAACCTTTTCAAGGGGCACCCATGCCAATGGCTTCCCCTAGTGCAAGGGTGGGCCAGAATCTTCCTTACCTTCCCTTGCAATCTCAACAGGTTCACAAGAAGCATAAGCAGAGGGCAAAGGAGAATCACCAAATGTGCAAAACCTTCCATTCTCCAGGAACAGTTGTGGAAAAGGAACATGTGAGAGACCTACCCACAGTTATTTTATATGAAGGCCAAGTTGGACAGATGATACAAAGACATGAACACCACCATCACCACGAGCACCACCACCACTACCATCACTTCTACCAGACATAGAAGAGATCCCACCAACATCCTCCAAGAATCATCCCATATGAAGGAAATGTGTTCTTGTGATACCAGAACTAAGGCATTACTATGATTAATATTATTGTTACTCCATTAATATTCAACTAGCATATATTTTAGAGGTTATACAGGACTCCTAAAACTTACCCTATTTATATGTTGTGGAATGGCATAGCTTACTTAAACACCTTGTTGGTTTACTGTTTTTTTTAAGTGGCTGTAAAACAGCAAACAGCCATAGGTTTTTGAGCTGTGATTTAATGCAGGTCATCAACGCACTTCTTTAAAAGTACTACTTCCACTGTAGTAGGAAAGATACTTCAAACACTCTTGCAGACATCTAGCTTACCACTCTGCTGTATGTCGGCTGATCGCACACAAGCCTTCTATCAGGGGAGCAATGTTCGAAGGGTTGGACTCCAGAGATACTCAGAATAATGGAAAATACAAACAGCTGCTACCTCTAGTATTATTCAGATTTTATTTTCTTTTTTATTGATTGTAATGTGCTACAAAAGGGGAATTTTAATATACTGCGTTCGTGTAGCCTGTTTGTGTTCACATCCTTTCAAATTATCTTAATAATTACAAGGAAATATTAGCTATACTTATCAACAGAGCTACATTTGTACAACTTACACTTTATTTTCTTGGAGATTCTTCACTGACACAAATATAGTCTGTTATATACTGGGTAATATTTAAATATACTTCCTTTTTTTTCCTTTTTTTTTTTTTTCCTCTTGCTTACTCCCCATCCTGTTTGGAGTAACCATTTGAAAAGAGGAGGATGTGAAATGGGTTTTTCAAAAGCATCACCAAACTTTAATGCTTGGGCAATAAGTACAGTTCTTGGGGGTTTGAGAAGGAGAGAGGTTGCTTAGAGTTTTGTTTTGTTTAAATCCACAGTTCTTTGTTTTGAGAAAGAATTGAGGAAAATATACTTTCTCACTTTAAATGTTGGCAAATATATATAAAGTATAAATATATATATATATAAATATGCACACTCTCAGGTACATTTTGTTGTGTTTTAGAAATCTGTGGTTTGAATATTAGCATTTTATTTTTTTTTTCCCACAACAGTGACTTTTTAGAAGCATATGCCATGGCATTTTCTTAGGTGGCTCCAGTTTAAATTTCCCCAGCACCTACAAATTTTTGAGACAATTCAATATGTAAAAAACCATAATTCACAGTCATTCTGGCCTCTTTGCTTTTTCCATATTGTAGGGCTTCCATTCCATGAAGGAGAATGAGACCATATTCACAAGACCTTACTAGATGCTGAGAAATTTGAAGGTCAAAAGTAAATCGAAAAAGTGAAAAAAAGGGTCAGTAGTTCTAGTTCTAGGTCAAGTTCTAGTTTCTATGGGGCCCACATCTATAATACATTCAGTTGTGTTTTGTACAGATCACCATTTTGCAGGTAGAAAGTGACTGAAAAACACCTATGTTACTTTTGGAACCTTAGAGAACTCCTGACATCAAAATATAATTTTTCTATAAAAGTATTTGCTTTTGGTTTTAATTATTTAAAGTGTTGTGGTATTTTGTCTATAGTATATATTGTAAAATGTAATTATCCCGCATTGTTATAAGCCCTTTATGATTAGGGTATTTTTTTTCTGACTAGAGCTTTGATCAGTCCAAAATGGGGTACTACCCCATTACTGCTGACTAGTTTTAGAGGGATGTTGTCCTTTCTAAGAACATGGAGACATCAACCTTGAAAGAAAAATTTAAAGCCTTGCCTTCTTGTGGAATTGGAATAGAATCACTGTTTCGTGGTAATTAGGTCCATCTCTTGTCTCTCTGGATCAGCAGTTGTTTAGACTTATTGTCCTCTTTAAAAAATCTGGTTTATTTTATTCTATTTTTTTTTTAGCTGTCAGCAGTGTGTTCTGTTAAATCTAACAAACTGTTTTTAAAATGTGTTTGATCTGTGTGACAGCTATACTGTTCTGTTTATTTTTAAAATTCCTAAAGTCCAAAAATATTTACATACAGAATTTTCTGTATTAAAAATATGAAAAGGCCACAAATTTGGTTAGTTACCACTGAGTTGTTCTATTCTAAGCCTTTTTGCTGCTTGTGTATCATTCTTTTTCAATGTATATATGATTATGGACTGAAAAAAAAAAAGACATTTTATGTCTAGTAGAAGGAATAAGCTTATTTATATTATAGTGTTAACAAAGTCTGATGTATTCAAGTAACTTACTTATACCGCATGCAAAACACAAAAATGTACATTCCGGCTAAGAAGGGATGCCATGCTATTTGTTTTGATGATGTAATTAAAGCTGTTCTCTTTTCAGGGGAGCACCTGCCAGAAAAACTGGGAGGTGGGAATTATTCCTTAGTCAATTTTTTTTAACACAGGCTGTTGCCGAAAGCCAGAAAATGTTCTGGAAAACAAGAGTGCTTTCAGAATTGTGGGTTTTTCTAAGAAGGGGCAACAGAGGGGGATAAATCTTTCACCCAAAGATATTTTGCTGGAAAAGATAACAGCACGAATAACAAAATCCTATCTGATTGAAAAGCGTTCAGTACTAGCTTTGCCAAGTCAACTCTGAAGTGTAACACAACTGACCATTGGTTATAACCTTGCATTGATTTATTTTGGTTTCTTGTATTTGGGGATACAACAGACAAATTTACCTTGCTCAGATTCTGTGAAATACAAATACATTTTAATAACGTGGCATTCCCATACTAAAACTTTACACCAGCCATCTATGGGTATACAGTATCTATGTACTGTTTTGCAGTTGTGTTACGTGTGTTAGGTGTGAATAACATGTAGCACAGCTTCTTTTCACAGAATCTTAAATTTCTCTATCTTTTAAAAAAGTTTGCTTCTCAGTATTTTGTATAGTAAATATAGATGGTTTTGACTAAATGCTTTATTTATTTAACAGCAAAAACTGTGCCAAGAGAACCCCCTGGTAATTAAAGTTTTGCTGGTTCAGAAAGTAGATTTCCTTCTTGTTGTGGATTTCAGGGGCTTATTGCAGTTGCTGTCAGGGCTTGCATATCCCACTGATGAAAGAGCTTGCATTAACATATTTGGGAACAGGATCAGGCCATAAGGTATGGACTGAGTATGCTTCGGTTTTATATTTAAACTACCAAGTTTCAAAGTTAAATTTCTTGTCCCCTACTGTTAGACCTGTGTTGAATAACTGATTTTTCAGCTTGTTTTTAAATCTGAAGACCATTTAAAACAGATATGTATATATTTCTTTAAGTTGCTCAAAACTGTGGCTGAATCTGAATTTAAAATAGATTAGTTTCTGGTTAAACAAAAAATTGCATTTCTGAGGAAAGAAAAAGAAATTATTATTATTTAAGAGTAAAATGGAGTGGGATAAAGTAATTCCAAATGGAAACTTTAGTTTTTTCACTTACTACTTCTGTTTTTACAAAAAAAAACACTTCAGCAAAACAAAGTGAATCCCAAAGTTTGCACTATTTATTTGCTGAAAAAAATTTCAGTGGAAAAATTTTGCTCACCTTTACCAGCTCCAATTTTTGGGAAGCCAGTTTTTTTTTTGAAAATGAAGGTTGCTAGGCTTTTCTCACAACTTCATGACCAGCTTACACAAAGTAAACTAAGCTAAGCATAATGAAGTAAAATCTTTGTCCTAGTGAAATCTTTGGGAAGACTGCCAGATTCCCACTGGCTTCAGGGTACCTATAATTTCATTCTAGGAATGTGGGTTTGAAGTCTACATAATATGCAGAGAGTGATTTCAGTATTTATTTCTTATGCATTTTACTGCTGATGGTTTTGTAGTAGCTAATATTAAATGGAAATTTTACTGTGAGAGATCAAGCTGGTAAATTAATGAAGATTAACAGCAAATATTGTGCTTTATACTGATGTCACTGGAGGACCTCAAGGCACTTCCAGATGTTTTTGAAACATCCACATGTTCTTTAGTCACTATTAGATATGAAGACCCAGTTCTGCCCTCCGATGATGAAGTACCAGTTCTCCTGGCATATTGGCAGACCAGCCTCTTAAGGCCACACCAAATTAAAAAGCCAAATACGTGACTGCTATAACTGCCTTCCTACTGTAGTCATCATAAGCACAGAACAGCAAAGTATAGCTGGAGTACTTTAAAGTTGTATATGTGTGTGTATATATATATGTGTGTGTGTATATATATATATATACATGTGTGTGTTGTCTAGCAGAAGTTAGTGAATGGCACAAGGTGGATTCTGACAGAGGTGATCTTTTGTAAAGGGATAAGTACTGTGTATGCTCAACAGTCTACAAGTTGCCACATAAATATACAGATACAACAAATGCTTACTGTTCTCCATATCTCATTGTGTACCTCAATTATTGAATGACAGATTTCATTTGTGTTCCAATAAGCAGGAAAGTTAGGCCCTTTGTGGCCAAGACTGTACTTCAGAAAAATTCATCATGCTAAAAAATTTGCAAAACATTCACCATGATTTTTTTCTGGAATACAGACAAGAATGTTCATGTTTGGAAACGTGTCAGCTAAACAAGGCTCACCTTCAATTGCCTTGATGAAATTCATCAAGATCTGAAAATACGTTTTCAAACATGACTTATTCATGGTTTTGCTGGGAACCAAGTCAAATTCAGCATCCTGTTAGTTGTCAGGCTCCCTTTTTTTTCAAAGGTACCAAGCAGAAACATGTTTGAAAATCCAAACACTTAATGTGTTTTCTAAACATCTTCTGGAAGATTTCTTTTTTAATGCACTTAGCAGCAAAACCAGCCTCAGTTTATCACTTTTTTTTTTTTTTTTTTCATATTTGACATGTTCAGTTGATTTAACATGGAAGGGGCTGGTTTTGTAGTTTTGGGTTTTTTTTTGCTTGTGTACATTTAAAATGTGCTAAAAATGAGCTAAAAAGAGCAGAGACAGAAAAGCAAATAACTTTATATTGAAATTGTTTAGTAGACATTGAAATGCATCTTATTTGAAATTTGGATTATAGTTATTAAATAATGAGGTTTTCAATTATGATTTAATTTAATTTTATATTTCTATATAATTTAGATAATTTGATCCTACTGAGCTAAAATGATAGAAATCATACGGATGAGTTTTAAAATATGCTTTAAAATAGCAGGACTTAAGGACTATGAGATGGATTACTGTGAAAGAGCTTGAAGAAAGACAACGGAAGAATGGAAAGATTTGAGATATGTATGGATAGCATAGAACTGTCTGATAGAGGTGCAGAGGGAGACAGACAAGAGGCAGGAAAACACTGTATGGAGAAACTATATTCATGTTACTTTTTTTAATCTCTTATGGTACATTTATTGCTTATAAAACAGCAAGAGTAGTTCATAGGATGCTTTTCACTGGGAAAGCTTGAAGACTTCCTAGAAGAGGTCAATCTCCAGTGTGCAGTGGGAGACGCAAGAAAGAGAAGTTGTAGATAATCACCACTAGGGCTGTAACAGGGTAATAGATGATGCCCCGGTTCCCAAGTCCCTGTCCAAGCTGAAGGAAATTTTTTCAGAAGCAGAGGAATGTGTTTCTACAGATGTTTTCAATATTCCTGTAGAATGTGTTTTGAATAGTAGCCTCAGTTCTTTTTCTGTTTGATTGCAAACATACATAAGTTGGTCAAACGTTGCCCAAAGCTTCTATATCTTTTAAGGGGATTAATAAATTTGGCAATGGGCAAACGTTAGCAAAAACAGGCTTAATGCTAATGATGTGCACTGTGCTTTCTGTTTTTCATGACATGCCTATGGAGTGGGGTCTGTGTCTTCCTCTGAGTGCCTAGTCTGTATAGCCAATGCAGCCTGTAACTGCTACCAGGTAAGAGATGTACTCTTCTGGTGAGCCTGTACTTTGTGGATAAAGATAGGGGTTCAGATCCTTCTGGTGCTGAGTGCTTATTCTTACACTTAATCCTTCCCATTCTGTTCCATTCAAGAAATATAGCACTCTGAGGCTTTGTGAATTTTCTAATAAAACACCAAACAAACTGGGCCAAATTTGTCTTCAACTTCACAAATGGAAGCCAGAAATGCCCCATGCATGTCTTGGAATTTGGACCTTCAAATGCAGTTTGCTGTATGAGTCATCATTTTTTCTTGTACTAATTTCAGATATTTGATAAGCTCTTTTTATTGTTTACAAGTTTAAAAAGACAAATAAAACTTTGTAGATTAAAATATTGTTTTGGAGGTTGTATTTTGTCTGTTCTCACTGGAGTTCTGTGAACTGTCTTTCTGTGGGCTTTAGCTTAAACCTACAAAGTGTCTTTGGAGTGGGTGTTTATAGTTCTTCACTTGCTTGTTCACAGGATAAGACTGTTGATAGATGAATAAAGTGCCACTTGAGGTTGTTAACAACCAGGACTGGTAATGCTAGTGCAACTAAGATAAACAGTGAAATGCTATGGCAATTGAGCATTAAGGTCTCACTTGTCCAGTGCTGATTTTTAAAGTTGTAAATACAGTGCTTTATAGATACCCATGGCCATGGGGACTGGAGGTATTTATTCCGCCCTTCTCTGAGTGCTGTATGGACTCCTGTGCAATGCTTGCCCAGGGCATCCTTGCATACTCAACATGCCATTAGGAAGCAAGAGTATGAAAATTGCAATGTTTCAGTCTGAAGCAATTAACCCTCTCACTCTGCAAGGAATAGAGTGGAGGAAAAGCTCAATTAAAGAGACTCGGAGTTTCCAGTAAGTGCAAAAGTATGAAGAGAAGCAAAAAGCAGCACTGTGGCCTCTCATTCCTTCTGTCTCTTTACAGTCTTCTCGGGGACTTTTTTTTTTTTTTACATTTGATGTCTATAATCACAACTTCTTACTGTTTGAGTGTGCCATCTCTTAAGGCCATAACCCTCAGCGGCTCTGCATACGTGACTTATATGGGTTTCAATGGAAACTTTGTGCAGCGTTACTGGATCAGCAGATGTAAACAGAGGTACTTCAATTTACACTCTTTTTAGTGTAGTTTGGGCTTGGAATCATGGCCCTGGGACACTTATAGCTTGCACTGATCAGGGACAGGTTTTTATAAAAATTTTCCTGGTCAAATAAATGGGTGCTAAAATCAATTAATTTAAAGATTACAATCTTGACAGTTTAGGAGTCCAAAATAAAGAGTCATTTTAGCTACTGACTATGAATTAAAAGCATAAGTCATAGTGTTTTCAGGAGCAGGGCAAGACTTTCATACCTTAGTCTGCTAAAAACTTCATCAATGCAACCCCTTTCCTTATAACTGAATCATAAATTCGGCATTCACAGGATACTATGTGACTGCTGATCTTTCTAACAATAGTAAATGAAGTTTACTTTACTTGGAGCCTTTGTTCATATAGATACCACTTTTATTGCCCAGAAATGTAAAGGAAATCCACTGAACAGCAGACCTCACCATAAGCATCCTGCATGCCCTGTTACCCACCTCCCCAAGGATGTGCAGGATGGAGTCACTCCAAAGAAGCAGCCTGAAATTTCCAGGCCCATTAACTCTTTCCAGCTATGGTCACTATGTGTGTAACCCTGACAGAGAAATTTTAGGAGTATGAATGAATTCAAGGCAAGTAACTCTTGCTTTTCCTCAAGAGGGGCATCAGCGCCTCGTACTGCCTGATCACTGCCCTCAATGCCAGTCTGTGTGTGCCCTGGGACATGGGCAAGCATATGCTTGTACTCAGTAAGGCCATAACTTCCAAATGTTCTCCCACCCCTTAAGTCGGGGATAGGAAACGTTTTGAAAGATGTCACTGTGAAAAGAACTTGAACAAGACAATATTTCTTTTTTTTTGCTGTTGACTCTCTGCTGTGCCCTTTCATGGGTTTAAAATCCACTTATCTGAAAGTCTGCAGTTACATTTTTGTCCTTTTTCATCATTTAAATGCATCTTCTTGATCTGAAGAAATAAAAGCAATTTTAAAAATTAGAGATTTTGTTTTCATATGTGCTGCCAAGTCTGATACTGCAAAGTAACTGCTGAATTGGCACAAGCAGTTTGAGAGAGCCAGCAGATTTAGGAAGGGAGAAGATAAACCTTATTATGTTTCTTTGCCAAAGGAGAAAAGAAATGATATTGACTTAAATGTGGGAAATTTAAAAGGGGCCATATGTTCTCACTTTGTGCTTTGTTTCTAATAGATAGACAGAAATCTTTGAAGTGTGGATTGGCACAGTAGGGTGCATGCTTCTGTAGAGAAAAGATGCTAAATGGGGAGGATGTGAGGGGGCACATGAAACTCTATTAGCCATGCAACAGCAAAGAGAGAAAGGCAAATCCAATGATAATGTACATCTGTTTCAGGGAATTTATAAGCTTTGAACATTTTTTATGTGCAGATAAGTGGATCCTTTTCTTACCATAACTTAGAACTTCAAAGCAGATTGTGTGGATAATGCAAATTGCTGAAATATGAGATTTTCCTACAAAGAGGTTTCCAAAAAAGAAAAAAAAAAAAAAAGAAGAATTAAGGCTAATTGATGACACAGTCTTTTATGTACAGTGTAAAAACTCTACAAAAATTGATTTTTAGGAACTAAGAAATTGATGAAAAAATATTGAAGTATGCTGTTTGCATTCAGGGACTGTAATTTGAAACTGAGGTTCTGTGAATTAAACATTTGTCTCTGATATCACTACAGCAATACTGTAACATAAATTAAGATATGTAGCCAAGCTGTAATTGTATCAAAGTCTGCCATGTTGTAAGAATGTAAAGCTCCTGAGTGTGGCATGATATGCAGCACCTGATGTTAACATCACTGTCGAGGTAGCAAGGCAGGAATTTCTAGGATGTGAGGAAAAAAATGATTACAAGAGACAAAAACTAATGGAGGCTGGGGGGGAGGCAGGAGGTGGAGGATACTGATACGGTAAATCTTGGGAGTAGATAAATGCGTAACTTCTTAAATGCTCAGAAAAATTAGTTGTGCTCTGAACTGGGGGTTATGGCTGGGCTCAGGGATGCCGGCTGCGTTCCAGCTGGGATACAGGAATGTCCCAGCTGAAAGTACAAGCCTATGACACCCTGTGTGAGAAATTACAGAAGCAAAGAGATTTAGAAAACTTCATCTATCACATGTACTGCAGAGGTGTATTCCCTTCTTCCCTTGGCACCTTCAGACTATAAAGCCAGCTTTGTATTTTTTCCTGCTTTGAAACTGCTGGGCACAGGGGTGCTGATGCTCATCTTGATGCTAAACACATAGGCAACCAGAAGTGGGAGCTCACGCCTCATTGCTGAGTCTTTCCTCAAGCTTGAGGGCAATGCCAGCTTGGCATCTTCAGTAGGTGTTTCCTGCACTCCAGCCTGAACAGATCATCACAACCTCAGGCCTGGTTTGCTTTGTTTTTTTTTCTTAATTCTTAAATCCTTGCATAGTCTTGGTCACCATCTGCCATGCTGGGAAATCTAAGGAAAGCTCCAGGCCTTGATACCCTGAAATAAGCTATATCCTTTCATACTTTCACAATGCATTTTCATATCCAGGGCTTGTTCTTCTGCCCCAAACCCACCTCAGCTGCAGCAGGATAAACCATTTGCTGCCACCACAGCCCCTAGGCAACACCGGCTTTGCCCCCTCAGCTGAGGTATGAGGTATGGTAGGGTTGAGGCATGGTGAGGAGGTATGGTTGCCCTCAAAAGGGTGATTATTTTTCATGATTTGGCTTTGGAGGGCAGTTTTAGTCTGGGATGTGAGGCTGTGCCAACTGTCCCTGTGCTGATGGTGTATCTGCAGTTAAAACTCCCATGAGGTAATAAAATGATCTACCTCATGATTTGGGCCAAAACTTCCTGGTTTTGGCAGCTCATCAGTAAGCCAAGGCCACACTGGCAGAAGGTTAAACCTGAGAAGACCTCACCATGTCTGTTTACAATCGTACCCCAACAGCAGGGAAAGGGCAGTAGGCAGTGATGTTGAAAAGAACAGCTGTATGCCATCAGACTAAAGATAGAAACATGAAGCATGTGGGCTAATTAAGTTCTCAAGTGGCAGCGTACAAAGTGTACAGACCAAACAGAACAGTGCCTTCTGCTTGTTTTGATCGGCTCTGGTTCTATCACTGATGAAAATAACTGCTTGTTTTGCCTCACTATGGCTGGCAGGGGATCTCTCACAGCCCTGTCAATGCTTCCCTCAGGGTGAGTGGCTCGGTCTGGACACGGAACCATTTCATAACCAGGCGGGGACTGTCGCCTCTTGTCTGCGAGTGGGCCATCAGCAGCACTGTCAACCAATAAAGTGTGAAAATTGCTCAGAACTTTCGGGCTTATTTGCCTGCATTTTATTTTTCCCAGACAGCTATATTAGATATTTTTACCCTATATAGGGAAAGTGGGCATTCTCTGACCAGCTTAGCACAGCAGAATGAAATTTAGTTTAGTTTATTTTGTCTCCCCTAATGTCTTTCAGTCATTTCTTTTTTCCTTCAGGGGTGGCTCTTGGTTAAGTTGGTCAGCTTACTTCCTAACTGGTTTGTAGCTCTGATAACTTTTGATGTAGACTGCATGGGAGCCAGACTCTGAGTAGAAAATCACCTTAAGGATAAACATACAGAAAAAAAAATTCTGAAAATCATCTCCAAAAATTAATTTTTGATGTTTCAAAGTTTCTTATGCTCCAACAGGAACCAGTAGTGAGTTCAAGAGAGAAAGGTATGGCGCAACTGTGGCTCTGCAGCAGATTTTAAGTTGTGAAGCTGAAGGACTGTGACAGGTTTGAATTCTTTGCTTGTAATGATGTTCAGATAGAGACTTAAAGATGAAAATGCTCAGTGTGAAGAGATGCTCTTTCTTTCAAGTGTAATAGTCAGCTCTATGTTTGCATTGCTAAGTTGCTTCAATTAGAAGCATAGGCCTGACTTCAAATTTTCTTTTATTACAGTACATCTTCCAGTCGATTCTGGAATTTAAATTTAATTCTATTTTAATTCCAGGCTAAATGTCTCAGCTGAAATCTTGAGTTTTCAGAAGGCACTATCATTAATGCCTATTTCATTCCTGATTCCCAGTAATTAAGTTATGACAAGGTATAGAAACACACACATTTTTTTTTTATTACGATCTTTCTTTCTAAAGTGTCCCTGGTTTAATTTTGAAAGAGCCCCGTTGTTCATTCTTTGAGACCTAAGTGCTCAGCCTGAACTTGTTGAACAGTACTGTCCACAATAGTGGATTCCT